AATCATTTTGTGCCACCAGAAACACGACAGAATGGGAACTGTAATAGCTCCCAGTAGGGCACAGCATAACAAGGAAAACTCCAGGATCCGTGCTGCTTAATTGAAATGTGAGATTAACAGTGGAAGTTTAATATTATCTGCAGTTTCCCTCATACTAATTTTGACACGATGTGAAATACTCAGCTCACGATGCTTGGGAATGAGAACGATCAGTCATTCCTCAAAGAAGACTCATTCACTTGCAATACTGAGGCATTTCAGAAAAGTGGGATGAGATAATAACTGGTACAAATACTTTGATTAAAATAGTAATCCAGGAATTTATTAAAGAATTTATTTGGCTTAATTGCATCTCCCAGTTAAATAATGCCCATTGACTTTGCCCATTGAATGTCAGTGGACTTTGATGATGGTTCTGATTAGACTGAGTGAGTTTGGCTCAGCATATGCCATTCTGTAAGGCTGGGGGTGATTTCATGGCTGGTGAAGTGAAAGAAAACTCTTATCTCTCTAAATCTCGGGGAAAAGAGCGAATACACAAAAGCAAAGGTGGATGGGAAAAGATAAACCCTCCCAAAGGTGTGAGTGGTGGCTGTGCCCTCTGGCAGGCTCTGCTCTCAGCCAGGTGGAGCCCTGCAGTGCCAGCTCCCCTGCCCGGGGCTGCACTGACCCACCCAGGGCTGCACTGACCTGTCCAGGGCTGCACTGACCCACCCAGGGCTGCACTGACCCACCCAGGGCTGCACTGACCTGTCCAGGGCTGCACTGACCCACCCAGGGCTGCACTGACCCATCCATGGCTGCACTGACCTGTCCAGGGCTGCACTGACCCTCCCAGGGCTGCACTGACCCAGCCATGGCTGCTCTGACCCACCCAGAGGCTGCTCTGACCCATCCATGGCTGCACTGACCTGTCCAGGGCTGCACTGACCCTCCCAGGGCTGCACTGACCTGTCCAGGGCTGCACTGACCCACCCAGGGCTGCACTGACATGCCCATGGCTGCAGTGACCCATGGCTGCAATGACCCATGGCTGCAGTGACCCATGGCTGCAGTGACCCACCCAGGGCTGCACTGACCCATGGCTGCTCTGACCCACCCAGGGGCTGCAGTGACCCATGGCTGCAGTGACCCATGGCTGCAGTGACCCAGGGCTGCACTGACCCATGGCTGCACTGACCCATGGCTGCTCTGACCCACCCAGGGGCTGCAGTGACCCATGGCTGCAGTGACCCATGGCTGCAGTGACCCAGGGCTGCACTGACCCATGGCTGCAGTGATCCATCCATGGCTGCAGTGACCCATGGCTGCAGTGATCCATCCATGGCTGCACTGACCCATGGCTGTAGTTACCCATGGCTGCAGTGACCCATGGCTGCAGTGACCCAGGGCTGCAGTGACCCATGGCTGCAGTGACCCATGGCTGCAGTGACCCAGGGCTGCAGTGACCCATGGCTGCACTGACCCATGGCTGCAGTGATCCATCCATGGCTGCACTGACCCATGGCTGCAGTGACCCATGGCTGCAGTGACCCATGGCTGCAGTGACCCAGGGCTGCAGTGACCCATGGCTGCACTGACCCATGGCTGCAGTGATCCATCCATGGCTGCACTGACCCATGGCTGCAGTGACCCACCCAGGGCTGCAGTGACCCATGGCTGCAGTGACCCATGGCTGTAGTTACCCATGGCTGCACTGACCCATGGCTGCAGTGACCCACCCAGGGCTGCAGTGACCCAGGGCTGCAGTGACCCACACTCTGCTGGCCAGCGCTGGTCCAGCACCAGGAGGGAGCCCCAGAGCACCTGGAGCTCCCAGCCCAGAGCCCCTGCTGGCCCTCCCGCACACCTGGCACACGCAGTGCCCTCAGGCAGGGCTGGGCACTGCCCACCACTGCAGCCCTGCTTTCCATAAGGTTCCCTCCTGCTCTCCCAAGGAGGAACAGAAGCTTCTCGCAGCTATTTGTCTGTTGTGATCTAAGCAAACCCCCCAGCCTGCTGAATGCTCCCAGTGCCAGCACTGCCAGGCACGCACAGAGTATCCCCAGGACTTCCACTGGTAAAATGCCTGATTGTCTCTTCATAAAATGTAAACCACTAAACCAGACTGGAAACAAAGAGGAAAAACTGAAAAAAGGAGTAATGAAGTCCAAGTGTTTTCAAGGACAGCCTGTTCCCAGTGACCCTTTGGCCACCCAAATTGCACATTTGCCCCTTAGAGGTGCAGTCACAGCTACAGCCAAAAATGTTTGAGGAATAAATTACTGTGAAAGTCAGTTTTTATTTAAACTCCCTCATTTCAAACACAAAGTGGTTTTCTGTTTCCCTGGAGACCGGGATATGTAAGAAGGCAGAATTTTCTCTCCATTTCCCTTTCCTACACTGGACCACTGTAGAGCAGGTTTTGGATTTTCCTTTTTCCCTCCTACAGGAGTGGCATCAATTATGACTGGGTCATTTTCCTCAGGTGACTGGAGCTGTGTCGCTGAGGTGGGTGACCTGTGCTGAGACTGCTGACATGCAGGTGCTGCTGAGGGGATCAGCATCTTCCACTGCACGTCCCTCCCTGGGTTTAAAATTGCTGTCAGACACGAGTGCCCAATGAACAGAAAGGGAGACACTTTTTGAGTTCTTGAAGTAGAAAATTAATACAATTGAAATGAATATATTTCTGCTACAATAATGGAGCACTAAAAAAAAAAAAATCAACCAAACAAAAAACTTACAAGATCTTTTATTTGTCTCTGACTCCTGTTTAGGAAGGTGAAACCACTTACTATGCTGCTCAATGAAGAATAAATTGAACAAACCCTATGTTGCACTCTCTGCCTCTGCCCAGGGAAAGGAATTAGGAGATGGAGTGGACTGAAATCCTCCTCTGGCATGAGGACAAACACATCCTTATGTCACAAGGCTATCTTGAAATTTTTTTGGGAAAAGACTCCATGCTCTGGATTTCATTGTCCAAATATTAGGGGAGAATGAGAAAGAAATGACAACTGGCTGGAGCTGTTAGATGGCATCTTTCATACTTTTCCCACAGAACGTAAAGGCAGGAGAAAGGAAGGAGGAAAGCTGATAGCTCGGAGATTCACAGTGTATTTAAACACAAACCTATACCTAAACAAAGCTAAAATTACTGCCTTGTATAAAAGTGTTCTATCTTTTTATTTGAGAGCAAATTCTTTCTGATTTTTCAAAGAAATACTCTTTGAGAACTATTCTTTGCCTTTGGAAAGCTGTTCTTAAATGATACCTTTCCATTGTAATCCTTTTACAACTTCCAGGCTCTTTGAAATAATGATTGCCTCCTCGCACACATTCTGTGAGGAGCACAATAACTAATGTATCCATTTCAAAACATGCTGGGAAAGAAAACAGCATCGATTTTAAATGAAAACTTGGGGAACAGCATCTCAGGAGCCACCAAAGTACTGCTGGTGTTCCAGCTGCGGTCTACTGGCTCCAGGGCTGTCCTTTGCCATGGTCTGCTGGCACTGAGAGTTATTCCAGAGATGCTTTTCATTAGCCATTCCACGAGACATTCCAGTTCAGCAAGGCACGGAAACCCAAGTCACGGGCGTGTTCCAGCTCAGCAATCTCACGAGCTTTAGCAAGACCAAGCGCTGGTGCTAGGCCTGGACTGGGGCAGCCCCTGGAGTCAGTGCAGGCTGGGGGATGCCCCGGGAGAAGGAGCTGGGGTGCTGGTGGGTGAGAGCTGGCCGTGCCCCAGCTCAGGGGCCAGAACCCCCCTGTGCCGGGCTGATCCCCCCGCGAGGGCAGCAGGGCAGGGGGGATCCTGCCCCGCTGCGGTGAGACCGCACCTGCAGAGCCGCCTCCGGCCTGGGCACGCCAGCACATCGGCCTTCTGGAGCAAGTCCACAGGAGGCCACGGAGATGGTTTGAGGGACGGAGCACCTGTCCCATGGGGAAAGGCTGAGAGAGCAGGGACTGGCCAGCACGGAAAATAAAAATTTTTGCGGCGACCTAATCGCGGCGCTCCAGTGCCTGGAGGGGGCCTACAAAAAGGATGGAGAGAGACTGTTTACAAGTGGCAGGACAAGGGGGAATGGCTTCCAGTGAGCTCCGATATCGGCAGTGAGCCCCAGGGACCGAGGCAGGATGAGCGGTGTGCGCTGGCACAGACCCCGCCGAGCGCCGGGGAAAGCCTGGGCTGGGCTGGGCTGGGCTGGGCTGGGCTGCACCGCAGCGCGGCGGCCGCTCCTGCCCGTGAGGGCTGCGCCGTGAGATTCGAATAACGGGGCCGGGGACACGGGGCCGGGGACAGCGGGCGGAGACACCGGGCCGGGGACACCGAGCCGGGCGAGGCTCAGCGCGGGGAGCCGCGGGGGCCCGGAGCGCCGCCCTCGGCACGGCCACGGCCCGGCCCCGCGCCCGGGGGATGCGGGCGGGGCCGGAGGAGCATCCCGGCCCGCCCCGGTCCCGCCCCCGGTCCTGCTCCGCCCGGGCCGTCCCCGGCCCCCGGCCCCGCTCTGCTCCACCCCGCTGCCCGCATCCCCCGCTCCGCTCACCCCGCCCCGCCCGCATCCCCCGGCCCGCCCCTGGCTCCCGGCTCCCGGCTCCCGGTCCCGCTCCAGCCCACTGCCCCCATTCCCCGGTCCCTCTCCACCCCCCTGCCCGCATCCCCGGCCCGCCCCCGGCTCCCGGTCCCGCTCCACCCCACTGCCCCCATTCCCCGGTCCCTCCCTACCCCCCTGCCCGCATCCCCGGCCCGCCCCCGGCTCCCGGCCCCGCTCCGCTCACCCCGCCCCGCTCGGCCCCGCCCGCCTCCCCCGGCCCCGCTCCGCTCCCGCCGCTGTGTCCCCGCCCCGCCGCGCTGTGGCCGCCGCGGGCAGCGGGCGGGAGGCGGCGGCGCCGGGCGCTGCCATGCGGGCGGGCGGCGCCGGGGCGCGGGGCGGCTGAGGGCGGCGGCGGGGCCGGCCGCGGGAGCCGCCGGGCCGGCGGGGAGAGGCCGCAGGGCATGCCAGCCGCCCGCCCCGATGTTTCCCTGGAGCAAGTGGAAGAAGAGGATGGGAGCGAGCGCCTCCTCCTCCAAGAGACCCGTCTTCGACGAGCGAGAGGACGGTGAGTGCGGACCGCGATGCTCCGGGGTGCCCGCTCTGCCCGGGATGCTCTGCTCTGCCCTGCCCTGCCCTGCCCGGGATGTCCAGCTCCGGGGCACTCTGCCCTGCCCTGCCCTGCCCTGCCCTGCCCTGGCGGCGGCTTTGCCGCGGTGCCCCGGTTCCCAGCCCCGGTTCCCAGCCCGGGGTGCCCTGTCCCGGGGTGCCCAGCCCAGGGTGTCGGTTCCGGGGTGCCCTGTCCCGAGGTGCCCTGTCCCGGGATGCCCAGTCCCAGGTGCCCTGTCCCGGGGTGCCCAGTCCCAGGTGCCCTGTCCCGGGGTGCCCTGTCCGGGGTGTCAGTCCCGGGGTGCCCAGTCCCAGGTGCCCTGTCCCGGGGTGCCCTGTCCCAGGTGCCCTGTCCCGGGGTGCCCTGTCCGGGGTGTCGGTCCCGGGTGCCCTGTCCGGGGTGCCCTGTCCCGGGATGCGGGATGCCCTGTCCCGGGGTGCCCAGTCCCGGGGTGCCCGGTCCCGGGTGCCCTGTCCGGGGTGCCCTGTCCGGGGTGCCCTGTCCGGGGTGTCGGTCCCGGGTGCCCTGTCCCAGGTGCCCTGTCCCAGGTGCCCTGTCCCGGGGTGCCCTGTCTGGGGTGTCGGTCCCGGGTGCCCTGTCCGGGGTGCCGAGCTGCCCCGCCTGGCCCCGGGGTCCCCCGGCGGAGCGGGCAGCGGGGGCCGTGTCCGGGGGTCCGGCCGGGCGTTGCCTCCCGCAGGACGCGGACCCTGCCCACGGCCACCCCACGGCCACGGGGCGGCCGCCGGTAAAACGGGGCCCTGGGGAGGGGGCGAGGGGACGGCTCGGCAGCGCAGTTTGGGTCTGTGCACGGACAGCCCCGCTTGGACCGAGGGAGAGCCAAGTGCTGCCGGCATCAGCGCCGAGCACTGCTGCCAGGGCAGAAAGCTGCTCTGGGGCTTTCCCCAAAATGCAAACTGGGAGGGTTAGGAATACGCCGTGAGATACCACCGCTGCATTAGAAATGCAGGGTGCGGGGTGAAATTTCAGAGGAGCAAAGGAAGGAAACTTTGACTGTGGTGGGGGAAGAGTCGGGAGAACCATGGGGCCAGCAGATGGCCGGGACACTCCTGAATGCTGCGCTGGCCCCGTGGCACCAAGCGAGCACACACAGAAATCCCTGTGTGTGTGTGTGTGGGGTGCTGGAATTGTGCGCTGGATAAACCTGGAGTTCGATGTGTTAGTCCGGGTCTGAGTGCAGTGATGTGAGGGTCAGGGTCTGTGGGATTCCCTCGGTGAGGGGACCACACCTGCCTGTGCTGCCCTGGCAGCTGACGGGTTAAATCAGGCAAACTTTTCCTGGCACAGGAGCTGGTTGATTTCTCCAACACGTTTTTATTAGCAATTCACACTGAGCCAGCCGAGTAAGGACACTCAAATCGGAGGCTTCGCTGCAATTACATTCTGAAAACAAATTTTCTTTCTGGGAGGCTTTTAATTCTGCCCTGAGCCTGTGTGCAGGCAGCCAGGGTGAGTGAGCTCTGCAGCTGAATGGCTGCTGACAGGAGCCTGGAAACACCTCTCCAGGTACTTTCAATCAGCGCTTTCGCTGTGTCCCAATTATTGGCACATCGCTTCCTTGATGTCTCCTGCTTTTCCATAATTCCTTGTTAAAGTGTGCTCAGAGCAATTACAGTGTTGTTCCAGTGAACTCATATTTACTGTCATGGCACGGTTGCTATGGTGATCTCCTAAGACATCCCAATAACTTCCTTAGATAAAGAAGCCAGTTGATACTTGGGTTTGTGTGTGACATAATGTGGAAGAGTTACTAGTGACAACAATATAATGAGAAATCAACTAAAAATATGAAAAGGAAAAGACCATTTGGTATGTCCAGTTTTGCCCATACGTGGTTCCTTGTGATGGATCTCTGCACAGGATGAGCCTGACTGCTGAAATCCAGCAGATAATCTCTGTTAATTTGTCAGGGTGTATGTAAATAGGAGGTTAACGTTTATTGTAGTCACTTGTAACACAACCAGTACTAAGATCCCACTCCAAATCGTTGCAGACCTTACAGTCTTTGTCCCTGACTCCCTGGGGACTGGTTTGGGGCTTCACTGAGTCACTGGCTCCTGTCACAGCGCTGTGGCTGGGGCAGCATGGGGATGTGCTGGGGTGAGCAGGGATGTGTTTGCTCTCTCTGGCATGGAACACCTGCCTCCAGAGGGTTCTCTGCTGTTTAAGGATGGCCATTTCTCCTCAGCCTGCCCCTGTGCAGCCCCAGCTGCTGCTGGATCTCCTCTGGACCAATGTGTGTGTCACAGCCCTGTCTCTGGGAGGGCACACCTGCTGCTGTGCTTGGTGGGATGTGTGGGTTGAGCTCTCTGAGCCAAGGATAACCTTGGTATTCCAGAGTATGTCCTAAGGACCTTCTCTCAACCCTCCCCACTTTTTCAGCATCTTTTCTGTCAGTGCTGGCTGGGCTTGTTCTTTGGCAGAGATGGAAGCTGGGCTGGTGCAGCCTCTGTGTGGGGCTGGCTCCTGGTGCATCCAGGGCCAGGCAGTGCAGAGCTGGGCTCTGGGGAGCCGTGCCCCAGGGGCAGCTGTGCTGCTCCCTCCTTGCTTCCCTTCCTGGCTGCTGTGCTGTCCCCATCCCACTGTAGTGCCTGGTGCTGTGTGTTGGGCACACCTGTCCACGCCTTGGGGTGCCCTGCCCGCTGCAGCGTGCCCACCCTGCTCTCCTACTTGCACACAGCCTGCCAGAGGGATTTCACAGCTGGGGTTAACTAGCAGGAAAGCTGACTGTGAGGGGACAGTGCCTGTGTGTTTGTGTGTGCTTCCAGGCAGCCCTGGCATGCGGGACATGGGTTTCTCTGGCTCTGGGAGCCGCTGCTCCAGCTGGTTCCAGTCCCACAGAAAAGCTGGCAAGCTGCACGTCCATCAGCTGGGAGGGAGCTGCAGCCTGTCCAGCTGGAGATGCTGCCCAGGGATGCCTTTGTGAGAGCTCAGCTCTGGCGAGGTGCATTGTACCCTGCTCATGAACACAGAAAGTTAATGAATGGAGGGGAAGGAGGAGAAACAAAGCAAGGAGAAAAGTATGGGAAGAGGAAGGCCAGGCAAAAGGACAGAAGGGCTGCAGGCAGAGTGGAGCACTCGGAGCTGAGGTGTGCTGGAGTAAGGTGGGCTCAGTGAATCGTAGTGGGCTTGTGGGTCCTGCATTATCACTGTGGGCTGATTTTCATCAGGAAAAACACACCCTCATCTGCAGGGACTTTTCGAGGTTCATTATTCATATCTGTCTCTGTCCCTCACATATCTTTAAGGAGTTTTTAGAAACTCCTCACCAGAGGAGTGGGTTTGTTCTCCAGCCCAAGGGAAGGCTGGGCAGTGCCTGTCTGGGGGCTGAGCCGTGTCTCTGTGCAGGGCACGGGGCACTGGGGTGTCTCACAGAATCACAGATTCATTTGCGTTGGAAAAAGCCTCCAGGATCATCGAGTGCCAGCTGTGCCCACCCAGGCATCCCCACCCTGTCCCCAGCCCAGAGCACTCAGTGCAACCCTCCCTGGGCACTTCCTGAGCCCCCTTTGCATGGGGAAATTCCTGCTGTGCCCACCCTGAGCTGCCCTGGCCCAGCCTGAGGCCGTTCCCTCTGCTCCTGTCCCTGTGCCCTGGAGCAGAGCCCGACCCCCCCGGCTGTGCCCTCCTGGCAGGAGCTGGAGAGCGAGAGGAGGCACAAAAGTCATGAGGCTTGTTTGCCACTTGGGCAGGAATTATGCTGTTGTTCTGGGAAACAGCCAAGCAAGCTTTATTGACATCTCCCTCCTTTTTAGAAGAAAAAAATACTATTTTTCTTTTAAATTTATTTTTTGTGCCAGGTGAGGAAAACCTGTAATTGTGAAGCCAATGGGAATGTTTCAACCCAGCTATCTGGAAAATGCTTAGCAGAGTTGTTGGACTCGGGCACCAGGGCTGAGCAGGAGGAAATACAGGGCACACTTAGTGCTATTAGCATTGCCCACAGTTGTGTTACATGAGAGAGGGGGGAAACCACAGCAAGATTTATCTCTCTATGCAATTGTGTCTGAAGAGGAATTTCAAGAGTGCATTTTGGATGTGGTTTCTCCTGAATCAAAGTGGTTTACTAAAAAAACTGTGTGTAAATATACATGAGAATCTGTGAAGCCATCTGCTGCTTTGTGCTTTGCTGTGCCTCCCCTCGCAGACACGAGGCCAGTGGTCCAGGGTTCCTGTCCGTGTCCTGATGCTGAGTTAGTTTTTTCTGCTGATGCACAAGATTTTAATGGTGCAGCCCAGTGACTTTCATCATTATTCGTTTTTGTCTCAATCACTTTTCCCCCCATCCCTTGTTTGGCTCTGCCAGAATGCAGATGGTGTTTTGTAAGGGGGTCATCTCTCTCAACAACAACAACGGAGGAGGAGGAAAAGAGAGAGATATCTCTCTCAACAACAACAAACGGAGGAGGAGGAAAAGAGAGAGATGTGGAGCAGCCTGACTGGGGGAAGTGTGGGCTCAGGGCCAGCCCGGGTCAGGTGAAGTGTCCGGGGGCCATGTGCTGTGAGGTGTCCATGGGTGCTGTCAGGTGTCCCTGGGTGCCCTGTGCTGTGTCCCCTCTCAGCAGCAAGCTCAGACAGCGCAGGGCAGAGGCCCAGGCTGGGCTTTGGGGCTGGAAGGCAGGCTCCCTGCAGGAGCCAGGGCAGCAGTGTGGGGTGTGCAGGTGCACTGCCCATGGCAGTGAGGTGTCCAGCGTTCTCCACAGCTCTCAGCAGCAGTTTTTCAGCTTGGGATTCCTCCCCATAACTTTTGTTCCACGGGTTGGGACCTTCAGGGAGCCAAGGGCATGGTCCCAGACCGTCAGAGGTTTGGGGGAACAGGGCATGGAAGGATGGGGAGCAAAGCCTGACCTCCCTCGTTCCGTGTCCTTCACCTCTGGGGCACCCAAACCCTTCTGGCCAGGCTTGTGGCAGGTGTGGGGACATCCTGCTGTGCTGCTGGG